ACGAAGACGTGAAGCACACTTCACGTCAGTTCACGACTAGTTTGCGCACGGGCACGATTCGATTCGTGCCAATGCGTGCCACAAAATCGTGCAAGTGTCAGGGCCCCTTAAGCAGGATTGTACAGCGCCGATGACATCATTACGAGTGGTGAGGTTGAGGCCGGCCCCTCGCCCGTCGGGTGTTTCACCGGCGCGCTGCCAGAGCGGCGCTGGCAGCTGCCGTGCCTCGGCAGGGCGGATGACCGCACGCTTCCCCTGTCCGGGGTCGCCCGGCTTGAACCACAAACAGCGCAATAAGTGATTCCCCGACCAATCGCTGAACTACAAAAAAAAAACATATGTATATGGCGGATACATAGTAGCCGTTTTCACGACGGGGTATCCGCGGCGAATACTTTGAATTATTACTTAGAATTACCTTAATTTATTACTTTGATCAAATCTGCACCTAATCTCTTTTACAGCAAATATCTTCATTTTATGAATTTATTTCAGTGTTTTAATCGATGATGCTCTGGCTCTCTGATAATATGACAAAGTATAGGCATATAAGCAATCAGTGCAACCTTAGCTGATACCTAGCTACTAAGAGACACAAGCCGTTTTCACGACGGGCTATCCGGCGAATGCACCTGATTTGACCAAACCTGCACCTAATTTCTTTTACAGCAAATATCTTCATTTTATAAATTTATTTCAGTGTTTTAATCGATGATGCTCCCTGATAATATGATAAAGCAGGCATATAAGCAATTAGTGCAACCTTAGCTGATAGCTGCTAAGAGACACACTGAACCTGATTTGACCAAATCTGCACCTAATCTTTACCAGATGTGCACCAAATGTGTACCATATGGCCGTCGTGAAAACGGCTACACTGAACCTAATTTGACCAAATCTGCACCTAATCTGCACCAGATGTGCACCAAATGTGTACCAGATGGTCGTCGTGAAAACGGCTAGTGTCTTTCCCATCGAATGCTGATGGAAAGGATTTATTTTTGTCTGATGACTTCATCTGTAGTTACGCCACGTACGGGTATGTCCGTTGAGCTTTGCCAAATAAACTACACTGATGTATTCATTACCAGCATCACCATGATTTGAGGGATGTAGACTTATGCACTTACTACTAACACACACCAGGCCTTTGGATCGATATACCAATGCCTGTTTATACCGCATGACTTGGCCACGGCGTAGTCCAGCTAATTTGTCACATGACTTATCAGCTTAGGTGAAAGGGAAGCGAGGATCAGGTCAGGCACCAACAAATTTAGCTTCTGCAGATTCGTGATATAATTGTGAACAGTTGAACGGTGAGGAAATCTCTGCACATAATCGCACATTTCTAAATATAGCACATCTCATTTGGGCAAAGCTCCGGCACGTGACTGCCCTAAAAGGAGATGAAGTTGCGACAGGGCGGGTCGGGTTTCCGGGCGGACTCCGTTCGCGGGGTCGGACCCGCCGCCGCCGCAGTTGCTCCCCGATGACGCAACACCGCGCTGACCGCTGACGTGCAGCCACTCGGAGCCAAGGTCAGAGACATGCCCCGCCGGCCGTGCACCGATACGGACTGCGGAGTCACTGCCGGCACCCCGCGGTAGGGTACGGGACTAACGCGAGAGACAGAGAACACTCAACACATCCACTACTCTCGTATTGCCAGCGTGCCGGCCGCTCCGCCGCCGCCGCGCGCGTCCACAGACCACATTCCGCGGTGGCGGTGACACGGCCGGCCTCACTGACAACCGGTGGTGTCACGGCGTGTTGACACGGGACGTCCCGGCCGCCAGTGACGTAACCGCACCGCCGCGCATGTGATAACGGCGTGCCGCGGCAGCCGCCGGCCGAGCACGGCGCACTAGCGAGGCCAAACTCGGACGGTGTGGGCAGACGTTTAGTATCTGGCGCACGTTGAATCGAGATGACGACGCGTGTGTCGTGGGCGGCGCATTCATGGCGTAGCTTGTAGATGACTCGATAATACGACGGAGTTTCGAGAAAGATAAGCTACTCAAATTCGTACCGAAGGCACCTACGTGTTACAACTTCACCGCAATACACGAGAAAGTATTCACTATTCATGGAACTGGCGAGATACTGTTGAATGTGTTGCGGTAGTGACCTCTTGGGATGTTTCCAGCAACGTGCTTCCAACAGATTCCTCTGATTTCACGAAACATAAATATTACATTAGACGCGACGGGTTTGCCACGTTGCCTGCTAAACTAACTTTATCAAGTGGTTATGTTGCAATGGAATTCCCGGTAATGTGATTTTTGTTGGATGCATGCTGGTTTCTGTGATCATGCCTTACACGTATGCCTATGCCAATACCCTTTCACCGAAATGCTCGTCAGCTAATAGTTTGCTGAAGCACTTGCACAGGCTATGTTGAGAAGCACGAATGGAAGCCGTTGATCACCAGTCCCAAGAAATTTCCCATTGCGAGCTTATCCAGTCACGGAACCGGTGTTACGTGAGCACGATCGCAGCTTGTAGGATTTCTTTTCCAGACGCATGCGTCATTCGGCGGAGAACTTTTCGATCGCGGCGCGGCGCGCCAATTACGCCGAGGCCGGTCGGACCGGTGTGGTTATTCGGAGCTGCACCAGCGGGGCCGTCCGCGGCGGGTTCGGCCGTGCAGTGGCGTGACAGCTGCCGCGGCGTGCGTCACAGTTACACGGTCCGCCGGCGCGCCGTGCACCGGCCGCCGTGCACCGCTCAATGTGCACGGCCGGCGCTCAGCGCGGTGACCTTCAGCCACTTTGACCGGCGATATTTTTAGCCGCGTGGTCAGGAAGGACGCTCAAAAAATGCCGTCAGGGCCCGATGCTCATTGTGCGGCTTATCGTCTCGCTATTTATCTTCGACGACTGATGCGAGCCGATTGGAGTGAATCCTCGGCCTGGGAGAGCCCCGTCACACGACTCACTAATCCGCGGTGCCCGTCTAGCGGCCGTGTGTGGGCGGACCGGTTTGCCGAGCGCGCGGCCAGCTCATGGCCCTCACTCGAACCGGCATGCTCCTCTCGGCGGCCGGTATGTCCAAGGAGCTTAGATGATATGGGCCCGGCCGTTTGTGCTCATCTATCGCGGTGACGGCGGTGAAGTCTTGGCTATGTCCACATGATGCAACTAAGCAGTTGCATCACTTTGTGACGGTTACCAAGCTGCCCTGTGTGCAATGTGCAGTGTGCACGAGGTATACGATAACATGTCAACCGCCTTGGCCCGGCTCTGATTGGAATAGATCGTAAAATGCAGAAAAAATGATCTGGAAGCATATTTCTATGTGCATCAGCAGAATAAAGCTCGATTTTCAAACAGAGGTATCATTGTTACACAATAAATTAGAGGTATTTTGGCAGTGACTAACGAAAAGGCATTACCCAAATGGAGAGCAAACATCTTAAACTGGTCACCTAAAAACGTTTTCGCTGCAACACGGGCACGAATTATGGCTCATCGATGTCAATCTGACAAGTGTCGTTTTTATTTTGCTTACCATCATTATTCATTGTTATAGCATTTAATCGCTATTTTGATTCAATCGTTGTAACACCCACAATGAAAGAATGAATTGCACCACATTACATTATGTTTTGTTTATTTTGAATGGTTTGTATCCTCGCCCGGGGAAAAAAACATCGAACGACGCAAACCCCTATTTATGTGCTTCATACAATTAGAAAAAAAACAACTTCCAAGCAAGGATTCAACATTCAATATACCATGAAATGAAATGTGCGTTTTTAGCAAAATTCCTGTTTTACTCTTTAGACCTCATCTGCGCAATGGAACGCTCTTCATTACCACGCTTTCAGTTGCGGTGTGCAATAATTTTTCTTTATTCCTTACATTCATTTATACATAATACAAAATGAATGAGAGTAGCTGTGGCAATTGTCAATGCAATAAATGTGCAGCTCACTATTCGATGATGATAATTAGACTGCAGCGCATAGCTCCACTACTTCAGCTGAAAATCGGCAGCATTTCAAGATGGTAGACTGTGCCGCAATACTCCCTTGCCTGCCGGCACAGTCGACCAGACACAACTGCACCGTTCATACAGCGGACGCGGTGCACGCACACCCATAGCTCTTCGATGGCTGGACAGTTTTCACGTTTAAATGAGATTATATGCAAGCAGTTTGTGTCCGATTGGTTATGTGTTTAGTGTAAGGTTATACCTATGGGTTATTTGCAGACCTCAGTGAACTTTGAAATCTCGCTTATCAAAATGTTGCCAAAAGCGGAACGTCACAACGGCAATTATAGCTGAAGGTAAAGCAATGTTTGGAGGCCTCAGTTCTGATAGTAATCATTTTTACTTTACTTTAACATGGCTTACATAATGTCTCGGAAGTGATCGATACCGACGAAACTCGGCTGTAAATATTTTTCTTAATTAATTTGTTTGTTGGGTTAGGCCCTTTCGGTCCATTAAGACCATTTCAGAGCCGGGAGGATGATAGGATATAGGGGGAGACATTGGTCTGGGCAGGCACCCTAGTGAGTCGCCGGGGCTGAGCCCGTCCAGAGGACAGGCCACCCCAGCCCCAAGGCACTCACTGCACCCGGCTACGGGGTGCGCTCCCTCGGGAGCAGCGGTGCCGCTCCAAGGGAGCAGCCCGCATGAGATAAAGTTGCCTGTCCAGCCCGGTGGGGTGGGGGGGGGGGGGTTGCGGCGTGGAGGAGAAGGATTTCTGTATCCTGAGGATAGAAGCACGGAACGGTCTCTTAATTAATTTCAGGAAGCTTGGTGACGTTCCTTGGTGAGTCACGCCCATTCCTCCTATCAATTGGTGTGTCAGGGCTCCGCGGTGATTATGGCACGGTTTCCGGTCACCGATACACAGTGCCCGCTGACCCGGCCGCGTCACCAGCCCAGTGACGTGTCCCTACACCCAAACACACACTCTCGCAGTTACTCACACCCTTTCAGTTCCGGTGGACGGGGTCGGACAGCACCGTACTCCGGGCCGACCCGCGGTGGCCGGGATTTCGGGCCTTCACGGAACGCCAGGGTCAGGTGCGCAGTGGGTGACGTCATCGCGCCGGGCCGCGCCAGTCGCGCCGCTTCGCCAAAGACGGGTGACGTCAGCATGTGTTTGTGTGACGTCACCGCTGGAGCGGGCCTGCGCTGCGCGGTGGCGTCACCGCTGAGCCAATGTGCTCGACACGGCAGCGGGAGGCGGGCAGTTGGGTTCGGATCCTCGTGTGGTGCGGTCGGGTGCATTGGAGCTCTTACAGCCTGCCCTGACGAACCAGGACCAGGATTAGAAGCGAACTGCAGCGGAGAAGAAACGGGTTTTGATATCGAGTCTTTCTGGCAGCAGCCAATCTATACCAGCTAATACAGGTGAGTTATGGAGATATTTCACGCATTTTGTACTTGTTTACAAGACTTTTATGGTAGGAATGATCATCTTATTTGCCTGTCAATCTTTTTTTGTTTACGGACATGCATTCTATATATAATCAATGAGTAGGTGCCGATATCTAAATATCTTACGCAAGTTTTTTTTTTTTAAAGATAAACATGTTTTTAACGTTGTTCGCAGTTATCAATGGCTTTAAATCATTATTTATGCTGCAATGTACTTAATCCTCATCCTATCATACCAAACTTTTTTTGCCGTTTATTTTCATTTATAAGGTCTCAAGGAAATTTATAGGGTCTTTCATTAATAATCTCAAGAACATGTGACACACCAAAACACCAATTATCTACTAAAGCAGTCCGCTAAAACTCCAGACTTCAGAGCCAGTTATCCAAGTCTTTACGGAATATACCTACCTTCGTCACAATTACTGTCGTCTTAGATGATAATATGTCAGACATCACGATGTAATTCTTTTAAGCTTAATGCGATGTCAATTGGGGGAGCGGTCGGTTTAAATCCCATTGCTTTTACCCAATCTGTCATTGCGTTTTTCATTCAAAAGACGACGTGCGGTCTGTGTCAGCACTCAGAAGCTAATCATCTAGCAGGTACCAAGTTAAACAAGCCTCGTGCACGGCTGATCTGATCTCAGTAATCTGCTGGTGCTGGCGTCATGGGCCGTTCTAATGACGCTCGCGCTGCCGCTCGAAGGCCGCGGACCCTGGCAACATCTGCAGCGGGGCCCGGCGCGCCCTGTGGTGTCGCGGCCGTCACCCGGGCCGGGCCCCCGGCCTGTGGCGTGCTGACGCAACTGTAGTGCAGCTGGACGGCGATGGCGCCTCTCAGCAGAGCGGCCGATCGCCACCGGCTGACCCCAGCTCGCCGCTTGTGCAACCGATTGACGTCAGAGCTCGGCGCCGCCGGCACCGGCAGCGGCACAAAGACGGCCGGCCGGTGACCGGCCCCGAGAGCCGGCCGGCCCGGCGCTGGCGCTGGCGCTGGCGCTGGAGCGGAGCGCCGGGCCGGTCAGGTGCAGCTACAGACCACCTCATACAGCCCGCTGCCGGCCGCTCGCAGGGCGCTACCGATATAGTACGCCGGCCAGCTGCTCGACCTCGGTCGGAATGCCACCCCGCTGCAGTACTTTGGCGCCGACTTTCCTGCAGCCGGCTCGGCCAGGGACACTTCCTGTAGTGCTGCACTGCCAAGCCCTGACACAGTTCGCATTATTTCACCGGCGCTGCCAACCGCCGGGCTTCCGCCGAAGGTCGGAAAACAGCTCGCGCTGACGGCGGTGCCGGCTGTCGCTCCGCGGCAGTGCAGGTCGACGACTCGACACAGTGCCCGCTAGGAAACAGGTCAACAGTCTCGGCCGTGTCCCAGATGCCACCGTTACGCCGGCGAGCGGCATGACGGAATCCTCCCAGACTTTCCCCGACACGTAATGAAGCTGCCGCGTCATCCGCACAGTTTGGGTCACTATCGGCGGAAAATCGGGACGACCACGGTAATAGAATGATTATCGTTTTATAACTGATGTCCGCGGTTGGCGAGTCCTTGTATTGGGACTGGTTATGTTTCGCTGAGGTTTCGTAACCGAGGAGGAAGTAGATTCGCTCCTGCAGCTCAGTCGCCCAAAACTGGTCCTTGGCCTCTGCAAAAACCCGTTGGGACGAGTGAAAACTGACTGTGCTAAGTATAGCAGCCAGCCGGCACGTCTATTCTAACGGTGGCTCGGTGTGTCGTAATGCCTGCACGCTTCATTGTCCGAGTCTGCGTATATTTATGCCCGCGTGCGCGGCCGGCCGGCCGAGCGGACGGACCGAGGGCGGACGGTCGTGCCGGTCGAGCGGTTCACGTGGCCCAGATCGGACCGACCGGCTGTCGGCGTGACACTTCCGAACCGGCCCGGGCCGGCGGGGCTCGCCGGCCGTGAAAGTCGTGACAGCGGCGACAGCTCGGCGCCCAACCAGGCCACAGTCGCGGCCGACGCGTCGAGTCCGACGCCGGGCGGGGCGGGGGTGTGTCGGTGCCGATCCGCCCGGGCGGGGCCAGGCTGACTCAGACCCCTGGCAGTCGACCGGTCGGTTGTATCATCTGGCTGGAGAGCAGCCGAGTCGGCCCACACGGACCCGGTGGGCAAACAAACAGATGTGTCAGCGCGCCGGGCCGACCATGTTAGTCGGCGAGGGGCCGCCCGAACATAGTTGGGGAGGGAGGGGGCAGCCACCACCGCCCCCGCACGGGCCGCGGGCCATATGAGACCGCGCGCTGGAGCGATGATGCAATGCCCAACTCATGGCCGCCAACTCTGACTCACTGATTGCCAGCTTCCGACTCGGCTGAGTCACGCCGGCGGCTGGCTGATACGGCCGCAGGGCGCCTCCCTCCCTCCCCAAGTCGCGCCGCGGGCGATCCCTTCCGCGTCCCGCGCTGGTGCACGGTGCACCACGTACCCGGGTCTGCACCGTCTGCACCGTCTGCAAACCGACCGGCCGTGCTGATTACGTAAGCCGGTGACGCCAGTGGCGCGGGCCGGCCCGGCACCGGCGCGGGGCCCCGCGGTCACCGCGTCCTTACCAAACAGGGCCGCTGGCGGCGCGCCGTTACGTCAGGGCCTTGGGCCGCGGCGGCGACGAGCACGGAGCCGTTTGGCCCGCCGCGCTGACGTCCGAGGGGCTCAGCTAACCGCAATCGGACTGCGCGCTGTGCTCTCTCGCCGATCTGGGAGCGGCCGGATCGGCACTCCTCGCTCCGGGATTAGCGCCCGAGCATACCCAACTACATACCATCTCGGTGTTATCTACTGAGAATAAGACAACGGACGACTCATTGTCTTCTGAAAACTTGTGTGTAAGACGTATCGGTGTCAATATGAGCCCGCTTGTGGTAGGACTCCAGGGGCCTCCAAGGACGCTCCAGTGTATCACGCGCTGTGACCGTGCTCTGAGCAGTCCTTTACATAATCTACGACCGACGCCCACTGCGCGTGGTGACGCAATGGGCGCGCCGCTCCGTCGGTGTTTCTCGTGTGCACGTGATCGTCGGCCGGGACACGTGCTGTCCGCTCACGTGCCGTGGCCGTACCGGTGGCCGACGCCCACCGGCCACCGACGGGCCCGCAATGGGAAGTTCGGTTCCGGCCACCGACGCCGAGCCGGTGAAAGCGAGGCCGACCTTTGCATAAGTTAGTCGAGAGCCGGTCTGACATTTCGGTCATGTCGGATGCCCGGGACGCCGCAGGACGGCTCGGAACCGTGATATTTTGGGGGCGGCTGCTCCGATGTGCTCCCTGGAATCTGCGATGGCAGAATGGTGGCGAAAGTGGCCAGATCCCAGGTGCTGATACATTTTGAATGAATGCACGCCGCACACAGGACTGAGCTTATATAACGGTGTGGCGGGCTGACTGGTGGCCAGGATCGGCCCGTAGCCAGGTGTTGGGGCACCTGTTGTGATAGGAGCTGATTAACAAAGAAGGCCTAAAACCATTGCCATACTCCACGGGTCTTACGCCCACGGACGCGGCGGCTTGATAGATGGTATAAACACCTAACGGGACGCTTGGAAAGGTCATCTCGGCGCTTAACATTCCAACTCGAAAACACTGCGATCGAGTTGAGCAACCGCCTGTGCAGCACTGTAAACGTGAATTCTAGAAAGTGACCGAGTGGCGCGAGTCTTGGAGCTGCACGAAACATTGATTTTCCCTAGTGGCGGAGTGAATAGGTAGGGGAGAGTGGGGTAAGATGCCCAGGGTGGGAAAGACGCCCCACCCCCTCTAGCGGCGAAACAAATAATCGAACCTGGAAATTAATGTTCTTAGCGTAAAGCGGAAGCCTGCCTTGTTAACTGAACAAAAATTTGCGAAGCTCAGTTGGGCAACGGCTGGCTGGTGATTGCATGTTTTTTATTTGCTGCTTTCAAAAAAATATTTTGGTGTCAAAACATTGTAAATGTCAAAGAAGGTAGATAATTTTTGCGTCCCTTGCTATAGTCGTGATACATTAACATGCGTGTACTCTGTCCCAAGCAGTTTGTTTTAGGGTGTAGTTTTATGGCTAACGAATTGTACTGATTTAATATTACTTCGGTACCTTGGGGTAAGATGCCCCCTGTCCTGATGGGGAAAGACGCCCCCCTAAATCCGTAGGCTGTCCTTCAAGCAGCCCGTCAAATCATTTATTACATACTTGTGATGAGAGACAAAGCCGATCTGGGACTATTGAGAGTCCAGTACGGTCGGGTGCTCCCCATGCCGGACTCTCGGCCCAAACAGCGACTTTTTGGGCGGCATCTGACTCTGAGAGCCCTCACGACGGCCTCTGTGGGCCCCATTATTGGCTCCAGGCCCCTCACGACATCCTTTGAGGGCTCCCACGTTGGCTCCACGGGCCGCGCTGGCATCTGAGGTCCCCACGATGGGCTCGAGGGCCCTCAAGCATCATGAAGACCTATAAGGGCCCCCACAGTGGTCTCCGAACGCCACCACGGAGGCTTGTTTGGCCGCGCTGGACTCGATGGCCCTAACGATGACCTCTGAAGCCCCTTACGATTACTTTTGAGGGCCCTTACGATGACGTTTGGTGTCTACTGCAGGCTCGAAGGGACTACTGATTCGTTCAGGCGATTCACGTGCCCATTTATGTCACTTATAGTGCAGGGGGCATCTTCCCCAACGCCAGGGGGCGTCTTTCCCACCCTGTGGGGTAAGATGCCCCCTATGACTTCTTCAGGAAAATGCTTAATAGCAAAAAAGTTATAATATTTCAGGCACGAAAGTGTGATATTTTTGTAGAAAAATGATGTCGGCTTCCGTTTGAACTCCAAGTTTTTGCTTTCTGACCGTCATTTTCGAATAATATATGACAAAGTAAAACCCTGGGCATCTTTCCCCACTCTCCCCTACGTTGTTTAGGCCGCTCCGCTGCCATTCTTTGGCGCGGCTATTCTTCCGCATCTTGCTGGCGGTGCGCGGCAGCTCAGAGGGAGCGATCAATTATCGACGCAGTTGCACGGTGTCACATGATGCAACCGCCCCCGCTGCGGGAAGACCACTGGCAGGCGGCCAGCCAGGCCGCCGCCGACGCCCGCGACTACATGTCACGTGACCCTCGCGAACCATCGCCGCCGTCGCGCGAGTCATCGCGACCTGCGGCGGACGGTAGTTGCGTCAGCGGCGGTGCGGGGGCGTCGGCGGTGCGGGGGCTGAGAGGACTCCCGTGCTGCTCAGTGCTCCGGATCCGCCCGACCGCTGAACGGGCTCCCGGCCGACCACCGGCCTGTCCGGAGGACTTCCCGCCACATCGACACGCTGGTACGCGGCGTTAGTCGTCGAACCGGCTTCATACGCCTACTGTGTTGGACTTGATACAGGTGACGCCAGCACAATGATATTAAAAATTCCCCATTTTCTACGCACAAGCTTGCGCAGAGCGCTCAGCGTGCACCTCGTAAACGGCCTGCGCAATCGGAACTGTAGACTTCCCCGTGATAAGCGGGTTATGCAGCGCTCGCTGTCGCCTGCAAAACTTGATCGTAAACTGGGATGCAGAAATAGCCGGCTCCCGACTCATTGTGTCACGTTTCATTTTCTGACGAAGCGCGCTGGCTTAGTAAGAGTGGTTTCTGGCTAGGCTGCATCGGGAAGCGGCAGCGATGAATCATTGCCGGTTACATCGCTGTTGGAATAGTGAATCATGCTTACATACGGCCGGTCATAATTAAACAATGGCTCGCAGAACCTGCACTTGAAAGGCCAAATGGCAATGCCATCGCTGGCTATCTTGCCAAAACGCTACGGTGTTTTACCTTGGCCCTATTTTCCTTCAGAATGTCACCATCCTTTCCTCATTGCAGCGATTAGCGATAACCCACGCCAGCACTCGATTTTTAGTCGTGGCCTCTAGCTACAATGTAGTATGACTCACCTGATATGACACAGCATGACACAACGTGCCATGTGATCACGCAACTGACACCTTTGTCTTTCTTTGCAGAATTCCGTCCATGATGGTGACCGAGGGCATCTTCGGCACAGTCCAGTACGGGGACATGAAGGTGCGGTACGCCCCCGCGCCCCAGGTCAACGGGTACTACTACCAACCGCCGAGCGGCCAGGAGAGCAAGGAGCGCCTTCCGGTGCCGCCACTAGAGGCGCTGCAGACCCCAGCGCCGCAGGAGGCCAACGGCGGACCTCGCAAGCAGCGTGAATTCACCAAGGACACGCGCAAGGATGACAGCTACTGGGACCGCCGGCGGCGCAACAACGAGGCGGCCAAGCGGAGCCGCGAGAAGCGCCGCTTCAACGACATGATCCTGGAGACGCGTGTGGCGGAGCTCACCCGCGACAACTACCTGCTGCGCGCCCAGCTCAACACCATCCGCGACAAGTTCGGCATCATCGGCGAGAACCACATCAACCAGGAGGAGGTGCTGGCGCAGATGCCCACCATGGACCGCATCCTGGGCTTCAGCAAGCGGCCCAAGTCGCTGGCGCCGGCCAGCCTGCTGCGGCTGAGCAGCGCCACGGCTGCGACTCAGGCCCCGCTGCTGGCTGCCGCCCACCAGTTCCGGCCGGTGACGCCGCCGTCGGCGCCGGCCGCGCCCGCCGGCCACGAGCCCAACCCGTTCGTCTACCGGCAGCAGTCGCTGCGCGAGCCGCGCGCCGAGCCGGCCGTGCCGGAGCAGTGGCGGCCGCGCTCCGCCGACTCGGCGCGCCTGACGCCCGACTTCACGGCCGCCGTCAACCTGACCAAGGCGGCGGCCGAGCCGGCGGCCGAGCGGGCCGGCTCTCCCGAGCAGCGGCTGCCGCTGAAGCTGCGCCACAAGCCGCGTCTGGGCGCCGTCGCCGTCGTCAAGGAGGAGCCGCACGACTCGGCCTCTTCTGGGGACGAGCGCGACTCGGGCCTCTCGGACCGGTCCGACGGCGCCGCCTCGCCGGCCGCCAAGCGGAGGCGCTCCGAGGAGCCGCCCGCCCAGAGCGCGCCGCAGATCCGCAGCCAGCTGGAGCGGCTCTCCATGGAGGTGGCCACGCTGCGCTCGCTGCTGGGACAGAACGGCGAGGCCGCCGCCGCCGGCGCCCCCACCACCACCGCCGTCTAAACTCGGCCAGAGAAGAGCTCGGCCGGTGGTAGCCACTATTCTTACCGATGTGATGTGTAAACTCGCTTTGCTGGGATGCGTCAACAGCGCCTCAATGATCCATACTAGGCTCGGGCGGGTCAAGTGGCAAGGTGTCCCACGTACAACTCCCGCCGGGGACTGCGCTCCAGCACTGGCCGTGACGGTTCGTCAGGCGACGGTCCGTCACTTCCCCTGTTAATGAGCTGCCAAACGGGCTGTCACGCGCTGTCAGCCCTCCTGCTGGCGGGCCGCGGGCCGCTGATCAGTGCTGCCCGCTCGCTATGTGCTCTGTTGCTGTTGGTTGTGTGCTGGTCGGTGCTCGCCGCCTCTCGGGCGGTGGCAGTGCAGCCAGCGAGAGGTCCCACTCTCAACGGAAGGGTGCTGGGCCTGTGTGAGCTCGAATGTGCTGCTGTTACTGTTATATTGGAAGAAGTTCAAATGTTCTTTCATGTATGATATTGCATGGAGGTGTATTTCTGCGATCATATCAAAATTGATGTTATATTTTGCTATGTTATGAGATGTCTTGCAGTTGGCTGTTACGTTTGCTCTTGTGAACCTATGTAACAATATCAAGCTGTGTTGGTGTTTTGTACTAAGTGTTATAAGAGAAGAATTTGCGAAAAATATATGCTGTGAGACATTCAGATGATTGTTTATCGGTGAGCACAGACATCGGTGATTGGCACTGCACGAGACGTCGGCGGTTGTGAGAGGTCATGTGTGACCTTGAGACCTCGATGAGCACTAACGTGGATAAACACTTCAATGACGTCAATGAATACTTTCAAGCGTTGATGAGAGTACCATGCTACGTGGATAAACACAATGAGACATTGGCGGGTTCTTATAGACATCGATGAGCAAAGACACGTCGGCGAGCACTGCATCCTATACGGGGTGCCAACTTCTCGACGGTTTTCTCATGGCGGTTGTTCAGAACGGCGAACGCGTTAGTGATATAGAGATAAGAGAGAGCTGAAATTTGGCACACCTGACCTTAGATTTAGTCCGATTTCGGTAGCACTGACTGCACTTTATGTCAGATCAGGTCGCTGACCCATGGAATGACGTCATAGGTGAATGAAATTAGATGAATGAAATTTACGAAAGTGGTAAGTTTCCAACCCCTCAAAACTTGTAAGCATACCTCGGATTTTTTCTAACACCACCTGACTTCAAGCTGATCACGTGACCTCATCAGTAGGGGAGAGTGGAGTAAGACGCCCAGGTGGGGCTAGACGCCCTTTCGATATAAGAGGAAAACTGTTATATTCATAAGTTCATGCAACGTTTGTTTCTGCGTTTTGTTTGCAAGGACAAGATTTTCGGTTCCGAGGTGGTGTCGTTTGCAGGCGGTGAGCACTTTTATGTTTTGACAGGTTCTGATATAAAATTTTGTCTCATCGCTTACCATCTAATAACTGGGAGAAGGCCTTTAAATTATGTTGCAGATGCATTTTGCCAGTGGCGCGGGAGCCGGGGGAGGGGGGCTAGCGGGGGCTGAGCCCCTCCAGCTTTTCGGGTGTGTGTGTGTGGGGGGGGGGGCTCGTAATGTATTTGAGCCCCCCCCCCCCCCCCCAGCTGGAGGAATCGAAATCGGAAATCTACCAACATAATTTCATAGATTCATACATGGCGTCGGAACCGGGGGAGGGGGCAGTGGGGGAAGCTTGCCCCCACAACTCTGCGGCCGTGGGGGCGGTGCCCCACAACTTTTCATGACGCCAGGAACCGTTGGGCAGCTTGTCCTTCCCAAATTAGGGGTCGTGGGTCACAATATAACGGAAGAAAGCATGTAAGTGAAAAAATCCACATCTTTCACTGTCTCGGCAACTCATTTGGCAGATTAAAACCTTTATTCTAGGTTTCTTCACTCAGCTGAGACGGAATACCTCACTTTTTTGCAAATATTTTCGTTTTTTTTCGTTGAAAAGGCCAAGGTCTGAAAAATAAGTGGCCTGAAACCATAGGCGGCGGAACGGGGAGGGCACCGGGGCACCGTGCCCCCCATTGATTTTGGCATTTTAACATTAGTCCTATGGGAGTTGCATGGAAAGAATGGGACCGAAAGTCGGCAGTGCCCCCCCCCCCCCGTAATTGAACGTGTTCCACCGCTACTGCCTGAAACCGGTGAGAAAACTAGGTTTGAGGGTATAGGTTGATCTTTATTATGGCTCAGCCCCTCCCTCCCCCCCCCCGCTCCCAGTCTGGAAGAAGTTCCCGCGCTACTGCATGTTGCCCATAACTCATACCTATGTAGATACGCTTTACGTGTTGCAACGAGTTTGTGCCTCACGATTGATCAGGCTGGATTGAACCTCTTGAAAAAAAAAATGGAGCTCAAATACATATGGTAGGTAGTTGAGGCGTAAGACCCCCTCCCCTCACACACACACACACACACACACACACACACACACACACACACACACACACACACACACACACACACACACACACACACACACACACACACACACACACACACACACACACACACACACACACACACACACACACACACACACACACACACACACACACACACACACACACACACACACACACACACACACACACACACACACACACACACACACACACACACACACACACACACACACACACACACACACACACACACACACACACACACACACACACACACACACACACACACACACACCACACACACACACACACACACACACACACACACACACACACACACACACACACACACACACACACACACACACACACACACACACACACACACACACACACACACCACACACACACACACACACACACACACACACACACACACACACACACACACACACACACACACACACACACACACACACACACACACACACACACACACACACACACACACACACACACACACACACACACACACCACACACACACACACACACACACACACACACACACACACACACACACACACACACACACACACACACACACACACACACACACACACACACACACACACACACACACACACACACACACACACACACACACACACACACACACACACACACACACACACACACACACACACACACACACACACACACACACACACACACACACACACACACACACACACACACACACACACACACACACACACACACACACACACACACACACACACACACACACACACACACACACACACACACACACACACACACACACACACACACACACACACACACACACACACACACACACACACACACACACACACACACACACACACACACACACACACACACACACACACACACACACACACACACACACACACACACACACACACACACACACACACACACACACACACACACACACACACACACACACACACACACACACACAAAATTCACTGTCTGCGTCAAGGCTGCGGAGTCTATGCCTTTTCGACGCCTCCAATTCCGACCCAGACTTCAGTTTCCAAAAAACAACTTCGACTCCAACTCTGAGCTCAGACTGTCGACTCCGATCGATTCCAACTCCGACTCCGACTCGGCAGACCTTGAATGGCTGCGAAGGTTGGATTTTCGGTGGCTCCGATTCCGGCTCCGGCTTTACTTCCATAATCGACTCCGACTATATATAAGTCAAGTAAAAGGTAAGAGGTAAGTACACTGTAAAAAAAGTTTAGCATTTGGGGTACTAACGGCTGCTATTCGTAGCACCTTTTAGCGTCAAAAGAACCCTACGACGTATTTACAAAGAAGCATGGTGCTAATACTGTGCTAATGATAGCTAACATTCCCATCAAATATTATAAGTTTAGATCACCTATTCTTCTACTGAGCTTAACGTCTACTTCTGCTAGTACCCAGTCCATCAGTGAGTGCTCTTTCAAGCTGGATTTCTAATTAGAACCATTTTAAGTGTTTTAGAAGTTGGTAATGCTGAATATGGTGCTTACGTTAGTATCACAATAGAACCGGACATGCTTACAGAGGAAACAAATTTGAAATTGGCGCCAAAGAAAGTAGCTAAGCCCTGCTTTACAAATCTCTGGGAGTCTTATCACCAGCCCTTAAGCACGTTTTGACGGCGCAGAGCGATATGCGCATGCGCGTGCCAGCTGTTTCCGGCCACGTGTTGCGCCATTTTAGTGGAGTCCTTTGGTCGTGGTGGGAGTGTGTGCACGTGCTCCGGTATATGAAGTGAAATGAAGTGAAGTGAAGTGCTCCGGGCACATGCCACCGAGTGATAGCTCTGGAATGATAGCTTAAATCAACTATTATCGGTGGAATCCGTCGTGCGTGGCATGGGAGTGCGTGCCCCTGCTCCGGGAGGCAGTGAGGTGGAGGGAAGTGCAGTGCAGCAGTGCAGTGAAGTGAAGTGAAGTGCTCCGGGGCCGGGTGGTACATGAGCATTTGCCACCGACACATGCCACCGACACCGACGTTGATCGCCTTTGGTGAGTCTGACACGTTGTATCTTTTGACATTATCTTATATTGTTTAAGTGCTTCATATTCCGACTTTGGCAAATCGCGCTTCTTGGTCGGAAGGAAAGTTGTGTTGTTTGCGAAAATAGCTCACAACAGAAAAAAAATCTTGGAACTGATCCAGTTTTTTTTTTGCTCCAGGCATGGGGCCTGGTCAGTTCTTCCGTCGACTACCACTTACAATGGAGGACAACTACGACAACAACACGGGGTCTCCGGTTCCGTCTATCACTAAACGCCGTCTGGTCGTGGATGAGGTCGAACTTATGGCCATGAACGGAACGTCGGTTCAACGACCCCCCCCCCCCCGCCTCCCCCAGTCGTTCTCGCGTTAATCGTCGGTCACTGCGAGTGTGCAGGCATATGAGCGACCTTTCGTTATTTTCCGTGCGTTTGTTTGTGTATATATTTACATTTGTTTTTCATGCAGATGATATGAAGTGTTAATAAATGTTCCATTATTATTTTTTAATTTTATAATGTGTTGGATGCTTGAAAGATGCACTTACACGGGAAAATTGCAGAATGCAAAACACAGTCATTGAGACTTGCTAGTTATCACTATTCACTTATCTAGGATATAACCTTTTTTGCACGTCTTTTCGGCCTTACACAATTTCCTTTTTGGTAATTGATTAGTTTTTTTTTTGCAGTAGTGAAAATATAAGCTGCTAAAGAAAGCAGTTTTTGCGAACTTTTCATGCGGCAGCTTTAACTATAGTATAGATATTCTACTTTCAGCCCCAATGCTTTCGTTAGCATTATTCTACTTGTCGTGGGGTAACAATAGCGCTAAAACGGTTCATATGTGAGTACGGAAGGTACTAACTGCATGCTATTCTTAGCATCTTTTAAAGTTTAGCACCGCTAGGGTACTGAAAATTGGTCTAGCAGGTGTAGGGTACTACATTTAGTACACGGGTGCTAAACAAATATGGGTACTTATATTAGCACCTTGATACTAAACTAGATCTCAGTTAAGTACGAATAAAATGCTTAGCTTAGCACCGCTAGGGTACTGAAAATTAGTCAATTGAAAAGTACCTCTATGGTGCTAAACTTTTTTTACAGTGTAGGTACACTGTAAAAAAGTTTAGCATTTGGGGTACTAACGGCTGCTATTCGTAGCACCTT